AAACCATACTTTGAAATATATGTAAAAAAAATATAATATTTGTTTATATTTTAAATTATGAGTTATTTAATTTAAATGTATTTATATTTAAGAAAAAAAATATTTTAATTCTATTTTATAAAGTATTTAAAAAGTATTTTAGTAAAGTTTTTGAGGCAAAAAAATAATTATAAATGAAATAAAAAAAAAATCTAATAAATAAATATTAAACCGTTGTAAACGGATGAATATTAAGCGTGGGCAAATAATATACCAAATGGACAAATGTAATTGCCAAATATTAAGAACAAACAAATTAATTATGAATTGGCGTAGATGGATAAATGATTAGCCGAAAAGGATAAACATTTAAGAAAAGTAATGATCTACATGATGCAATATTTATTGGATGATTAATAAAGAACCAATAGAATGATTAGAGTCGATCAATTGCGGCTTAGCAATCTTTAACAATAGGAACAATTAGAAGGGATAATTATAAGCCACAAAAGATGGATTATAAGCAAAACACATAAAGTGGGAAGATAGCGGATTAAAAGAACATATAAAATAATGTCAGAAAGATTAAAGGACATAAAATAATATAAAAAAGATAATACAAAGATAATACGAAAAGATAATACAAAGACAATATAAAAAGATAATATAAAAGATAATATAAAAAGATAGTATAAAGATGGAACATAAAAGATAACGTATTAAAAAGAACATATATATATAAAAAGATAACATATTAAAATAGAAAATACATGCATATTAAAAGATAGCATATTAAAAGATAGCGTATTTAAAATATAGATAGCATAAAGATAGTTCAAAGATAATATGTAAAAAGAACATAAAAGATAGTATATAGATAGCACATATTAATTAGAATAGAAAGTAGCATAAAATTTGTTTAAATAGAGAGCGGTGAGATCCCCCAATTCCCTCTGTCATCAATTTACAGAGTTGCCACATCGAACGGGCATTCCCATGGTCGAACGAACGAATAAACGAACGAACGAACAATTAAACGAACAGCATAATTATCAAACAACATAAACAACGAATAACATACAACAACGTTCTTGGTTCACGACATAAATAGCGTTAGTAATATAAAACGTCGAATGATATAAAATAAAATTAACTTCTCTAAATTTTCCCCAAATTATATCCACTTTTACCTTTAATTTCAAACTTCGATAGCTCTCGCTACGAATTATTACTTTCCAAAAGTGTATATTTAATTCATCTTAAAATTTCCATTTATTCAATTAAAATTAATTAAGCAAACATTAATTAAAGTTTAGGGCGAACCTATTACCTTTAATTAACATTAAACTTTACTAACAAATAATTAAAAAAATAAAACTTATATTTTTATTGAGTTCTGTGGATGAGAACTGTGAAATTATTTTGAATTCCGTTCTCTTTTTATACAAATTTTATGCTACTTTCTATTCTATCTATATACTATCTTTTATGTTCTTTTTACATATTATCTTTGAACTATCTTTCTAATATACTATCTATATTTTAAATACACTATCTTTTAATATGCTATCTTTTATATATATATATATTATCTTTTATAACATCTTTGTATTATCTTTTTATATTATCTTTTATATTATTTTATGTTCTTTAATCTTTCCGACATTATTTTATATGTTCTTTCAATCCGCTTCATGTGTTTTGCTTATAATCTATCTTTTGTGGCTTATAATTATTCTTTCTAATCGTTCTTATTGTTAAAGATTGCTAATCCGCAATTGATCGACTCTATTTATTCTATTGGTTCTTTGTTAATCATTTGATAAATATTACATCATGTAGATCATTACTCTTCCTAAATGTTTATCCTTTTCGGCTAATTATTTATCCATCTACTCCAATTCACGATTAATTTGTTCGTTCTTAATATTTAATAATTACATTTGGTGGTTGAATTTTATCATCTTTTCGTGCTTGATATTCGACCGTTTACAGCGGAATTCAAAGTAATTCCACATCTCAGAGAGACTGCACATCCACAATGTAATTTAGAATAGTTAAATTTAATTATTTGTTAATAAAGTATAATATTAATTAAAGGTAATAGGTTCACCCTAAACTTTAATTAATGTTCGCTTAATTAATTTTAATTGAATAAAATGAAAATTTTAAGATGAATTAAATATACCCTTTTGAAGAGTAATAATTCGTAGCGAGAGCTATCAAAGTTCAAAATTAAAGGTAAAAGTGGATAGAATTTGGGAAAAATTTAGAGAAGTTAAATTTTATTTTATATCACTTGATGTTTTATATTACTAACGCTATTTATGTCGTGAACCAAGAATGTTGTTGTTATATGTTGTTGCATGTTATTCATTGATTATGTTGTTTGTTAATTACGCTGTTGATTATTTGCTTGTTCATTTATTTGTTCGTTCGTCTGATTATTCATTTGTTCGACCATGAGAATGCCCATTCGATGTGGCAACTCTGTAAATTGATGACAGAGGGAATAGGGGGATTTCACCGTAATACATAATCACATGTTATATATTAAAATCTAAAATCGAAAAATCCTATTACAAATAACCAAAAATCGGCAATTTCATGTTAAAGATCAGAAATATTATATTAAAATCAGAAATATTTATTAAAATTGGAAATATTATATTAAAATTGCCAAAAAATTCAGACAGCTATATTAAAAAGGGCAAAAATCTGATTTTTATTTATTTGACCTGTGTATATCTGTAGAAAATACGCTATAAACGTATGAATTTTAATATACTGTAGAATAATACGTATACCGTATCCTTCATTTACAATATTTTTGCGAACCGTATACAAAATACTGATATACAGTAGAAATGATATACGTTATAGACATATGAATTTAATATACTGTATCACACAGTATGTTTACCGTATACTTTATTGTATTTTTTACTAAACACATTTTGCGAACAGTATACATTATACTGATATGCTGTATGTAAAAATGCGAACTGTATCAAAAATATGTATATACAGTATAAAAACTGTATACATATTTTTTATAGGGATGGTATCCATTCAAGCACTATATCATCGTAATTATTAATTTTTAATTGCCTTTCTTGTATAAAATCATCAATTTTTTCATTTCCACTAGTCCAATTTACTAAATTTATAGAATCATTTTGAACTAAAACATAATCATTTGTAACTGGGTTTTGAGATATTCCGTACAATACAAAAAATACATCTTTATCTGTGAAATATCTTTCAGCCTAGATATAAATAAAAGAGATTGTAAATTTATTACCACACAGTTCCGAAATTAAGCAACCCCAAAAATAAGCAACTCTGGCCCGCATTAAGCAGATTTTGGCCGGAATTATGAGGACTTTGGCCAGAATTAAGTGCAAAAAATGGTTGCGTAATTTCGGAACTGTACGGTAATTAAAAAGAGTATTTAATTATTTAAGAAACTTCATACCTAATTTATTAAAGAATCAATAGATTTTTGTAAATTATGCAAACATTTTAAAGCAACATTTTTATTTGAATCTCTTGTATATTCGCCATACTGATAATGCAATGGACCATCCTTCCAAATTGCTGAATATACTGTTATAAAGCCATTCTTGCCTATCTCTTTAATTTCATCAAACTGATTGTATGGTATCCATTCAAGAACTATATCATTGTAATTAATAATTTTTAATTGCCTATTTTGAATGAAATTATTAATTTTTTCATTTCCACTGATGCATGTATGATAATCATTTTGAATAAAAATATAATCTCCTGTATCAGGATTTTGAGATATTCCATATAATACTTGAAATGCTTTTTGTTTTATTGGATATTTTTTAGCCTAAATATAAATAAAAGAAATTGTAAATTTACTAATTTAAAAAAAATATTTCAATATTTAAAGAAATTTCTTACCTCATTTATTAAAGAATCAATGGATTCTTGTGAATTATGTAAACATTTTAAAGCAACTTTTTTATTTGAATCTCTTGTATATTCACTATAATGATAATACAATGGACCATTCTTCTATATTGCTGAATATCTGTCTCTTATACACATCTAGATGTGTATAAGAGACAGCTATAATGATAATACAATGGACCATTCTTCTATATTGCTGAATATACTGTTATAAGGCCAATTTTGCCTATTTCTTTAATTTCATTAAATTGATTGTATGGTATCCATTCAGGCACTATATTATCATAGTTATTAATTTTTAATTGCCTTTCTTGAATGAAATTATCAATTTTTTCATTTCCACTGATCCAATTTACTAAATTTATAAAATCATTTTGAACTAAAATATAATTATTTGTAACTGGATTTTGAGATATTCCATACAATACAAAAAATGCATCTTTATCTACTAAATATTTTTCAGCCTAAATAATACAAATAAAAGAAATTATGAATTTACTAATTAAAAATAAAAAGTATTTAAATATTTAAAGAAATTTCATACCTCATTTATTAAACAACCAATGGATTCTTGTGAATTATGTAAACATTTTAAAGCAACTTTTTTATTTGAATCTCTTGTATAATTGCTCAAAATGTATTTCTTATAAAATGGACCATCCTTCCATATTGCTGAATATACTGTTATAAGGCCATTTTTGCCTGTTTCTTTAACTTTATTAAACTGATTGTATGGTATCCATTCAAGCGGTATATTATTATAGTTATTAACTTTTAATTGCTTTTCTTGTATGAAATCATCATTTTTTTCATCTCCACTTGTCCATAAAAGAACTAAAATATAATTTCCTGCATCAGGATTTTGGTATATTCCATACAATACTTGAAGTGCTTTATGATTTGTTGTATATTTCACTGGTCGAAATCAAAACTTTTGACTGTTAAGAGCTTTCAGCATAATTTTGCCGATTGGTCATGTGATTCATCACATTTTTTGACCAATGGCAAAAATCGGTAAAATCAATCACAAATCGACTGATACTGATTGTTAAATGAATACTTGTTCAGTCTTTTGGTAAAAAATCAACTTATACCGATTGTTATACAAAAATTGTTCCTTTAAGATCATTCAGTAAAATTATACCGATTGGTCATATAAATCAACACAATTTTGCCAAATTTGCCAAACGGTAAAAATCAATAACTAATTGGTAATAATTCGGCAAATCAGTTGGTAAATGACTGAAATCATCAGATCAACATTTTACAGGTCTTTTTAAACAAACTTTTTTAAACTTTTTAAACTTTTCGCTTCCTTCCTTCCTTCTTTTTATCCTTTTCCCTTCTCTTTCTTACACCTTAGTTCTTCACATTGAATTCAGTAACTTTTTATTAAATCAAAAAAGTTTCGAAATTTTCTTTAAAAAACATTTTTTAACATTAAAAAACATTTCTTTTTTATACTTTGTGAAGAAAATCAGTTTCGGCGTGGATACTGTTTCTCTAAGTGAAGTTTCGAAAGATTTTCAAAACTTTCTTATAAAAAAATGTTTTTTAACAATAAAAAACGTTTTTTTTAATATTTTTTTTTGCAGGAAATCAGTTCCGGCGTGGATACCGTTTCCCAGATAAAGTTTCAAAGGATTTTTGAAACTTTTTTCAAAAAATACATTTTTATACTAAAAAACGTCTTTTTTATTGATTTTTTGTTTAGGGAATTGGTTCCGGTGTGGATACCATTTCCAGCATAGCGAACATGCTTTATATCACTTTGACGATCATTTGCCGATCACAAGTTTCATTTTATTAAAAAATGATTAAATTATGAAAAAGTGCAAGGCAAAGTAAATGCCTAAATAGGAAAAAAATAAAATATGCCACCTTTTATTGTTGTATAACTTTAAATTAAATAATTTATATAATTTTTAATTTTTATATGCAAAATTATTAATATGTGATAATTTGAAGTTTCGGATAAAAATTGAAGGCCGAAGCCGAATACGCAAAGCCGAAACTTGAAATTTTGCATGAACATTCCTTTTATTATATATAATCTGTAAAAAAAATAATGCAAGGTTTCGACCTATAATGCAGGTTTTTTGCTTATAGAGAAATTAGCCAATTATTTGTTATTAATATATTTCTAATAAAAAAGATTATTTACATCATTAAAGATAATGAAAAACTTTTAGTTGAAGATGAAGATGATAATAGTTTAAGTGAAGATAATAATGATGAGAATATTGAAAATAATTTAGAAATAATAGTAAGTAATATAGATAATCTGTTTGAAATATTATACTAAACATGGGTTAAATTATTAATTGCCAATTCGGATAAGATCGGCACTAATTTATTATAGAAATTCAGGGCGAAAATTTTCCGATTTATTAAGGTAGCACGAATATTACAAAAAAGGACCTCTTATAACAATGCAAAAAAGTTCCCGGTAACCCCACATTTTTCCACGTTACTTACTGCATGAATACATAAGGAAAATAATAATGTCAAAAAAAAATATTTTTTATTGACTAAAAAAAAACTTTTATTTGCACGCACGTCAGATTCCTGCCTTCTTATACTACCTATGCTACAAAAAAAATTTCTTAATTCACGAGTTTCAAAGTAACTATTCCAAATTTTATTAGACAGTAAGTTTGTATACAGGTTTTTAGCATACTTTATGAAATATTATGACGCTTTAGTATTTTCCTCGTTATGTTTATTATAATATTATCGTACAAATTTGAAATAATAAATTTTATTTTCTTGAATGCGTAAGAAATTTAATTTCTAGGTATGTTCTATTTCTTCCATATTCCTAAAAGCCATAGATTGTTTCCATTTTCGTGAAAAAGTTGTAATCCAGTTGGCAATAGTTGACTCCTTTGGAATATCATCCAGGCTAATTTCTCCTTCATATCCACGGCGCAATAATTCATTTCGCATTTCTTGAGCTGACATTTTTTGTCTGGGATTAGCCGTTCCTGTATGAAACATACACTCGAGTAACTCTTTTACTTCAGGTACCATTCTTTTCACTGGTGTTCTGATCTTTTGATTTTCTTTTAGAGCCCATCCTTTATAAAATGATTCATGACTAAAAGAATAGTTTGAACGCGTTGGTAATATTTACAGCTTAGAAAATTATATACAAAGAGCGATACCTCTTTGATTTTGGAATAGTATCTGTTGGTGAATTGGTTGGAACAACAATTTCTGCACTCTATTTATTAGTTATTATCAATTACATTACCATACCCTAAATGAAACTACTGTATTTTATATAATCAGAAACTACTCACTGATTCTTCATTTTCTTTGATTTCAGAATCATCATCATCTGACAAATGTTGGATTAGTACAAGAACTTCCTATTTTGAGATGATACAGTTATTGAAACCATACCTTGTTTTTTGATGCTTGATGTTATCCAAGGTTTGTTTGGTTTTGTATGTTGAGTAATTATTGGGTTTGGCTTGACAAAAATCCGTTCTTTAGCAATTTTTTGTATTTTACTAGGTGAAAATTTATTCCACAAACCAAACCCGGGAAGAGCTCTTCCATATATATAGCCTGCTTCGTCAGTATCATTTGGCCAGACCCATTCTGCCCAATTTGTAATTCCTTGTATAGTACCCAAAGTACTTTTACGATCTATTTATAATAAAGTATGTAATTTTTTTTTGATTTTTGATAATATAGTAAATCAATTCAATCACAAACCTTGTGAACGATTAGGTTGAATGTGTGCTACATGAGTACCCGCTAGATCTTTTATTGCATCTTCAATATTTTCGCCAGAAGTAATATCATACCCTAGTTTTACGTATCTTTTGATTGCATGAGTTATCTCATAAATAAATGAAATAATTTGATAAATGCTTTGCAAATTTTTTTCAAAATTTAAAATATCAAGTATCAAATATTTTATTACCTGCGCATGATGAGAGTCTATCGTTGTCTTGGCCTCACCCGCTTCCAAAAATATCCAATTTTTTATGCTAATATTATACCATTCCTTCCAATATGATAATATTATCATCAGTTCAGTATTGTGATAATGAGGTCCGTTATCAGAAATTATGGTAATCCATGATGGCTTCTTTTCAAGAGTTTCTATCACACCATGTAATGAAGAAGCAGTAAACCAGGCGTCCTGTTTCGTGTCATTGGACCAATGATCGAATGCTTGAATATTTAGATTTTGTGTTTCAGAATTTTTGGTATAAATGAGTATTGAATGGAGACTCCAGCCACGTTTGCCAAAAAATTCAGATTTCGTTTCTCTTGCACTTTTAGGTAGAATCCTCATTTTATAATCTACTATCAACAGAGCTTCATCTGAATCAAGTTGGAGGAGATTCGAATTTAGCTGAGCATTCAAATATGTTTTTCGGGCATGGTGGGACATAAAGGATATTAGTTGTTTTTTATATTCTTCAAGATCTTGATAATGCATTATATCCAGATTATTTTGTAATTTCACAAAAAATTCAAATAAACTTTCACAGCTTTGGCAGATTTTTGGGTGGTCTTGATTACAATCACCAAATGCATGTCGAAGACAATGACTTACACAGGGAATATGAATAGCGTTGCCCATATCATCAATTTGTAATTGTTTGGTGTAATCTCTATGAAGGTATCGTTTTAAAATTTGTGAATCATTTACCAATTCTTTCTGTTTTATTATTTATCAATGTTTATATTAGTAAAGTGTTGAATTGAATTTTGTATACAATGAAAAAAATAATAGACTTACCCGAATACCTGGATCTGTAACATGACTTTCAATAATTTTTTCAATTTTGGCAAATACTGAATAACCACATTCATTACATGTCGTACATAGTCCTCCAAGATCTTCTTAATATTGGAATCGCCCATCATCTAAACGCGTCATAAATGATGTACGTTGCATACCATTGGGAAATTGCTCATGAAATTTTTTCCATAATGCCTGCTTATGATCTTGAAGATATAATACAGGTAATCCACTTTTATTGTCAGTTTTATATGAGCTCATATTTACATTTCTTTTATCTGCGAAAAAAGATTCAAATTGACTTAGCATTTCTTCTTTTAGTTTGATACGATGAATAACTGGTTTTTCCAATAGAGGTGCTCCATAACCATTAATTCGCGCATGTTTTCTAGATTCAGAAATGGTATGTCTTCCAACCTTTCAATATATAATGCAATAATTATAATTACTATACAACTATTAATATTAGTTTTTTATTATAAACAATCATTGTACTTACGTTCAAATTTGTTTCTAATTCAGAATAAGAAAATTCATCTGCAATAATTGATAAAACCCTACGTTTACCATCACAATTCTGCTTATTATCATCCAATGCACGTCTAAAAGAACTCTAAAAAGTTTTGGTTTTGTTGGGCATGTAAATAGAAGCGCTGGTAAGAAACCCTATTTTGCTAAGTTGTTGAAGTGTTGCACGATCTTGTTCAGGTTGGGATGACCTAGACCAAAATTGATACTAACAATAATTGTTTGTTAATATTCAATATTATTTTATATAAAATTAGATGATAGATGTATTACCTCTGATTCTTTATTTGACCAAGGAGTTACGTTATGGCTACCAGCATCTCGAAGCATAGATTGCCTTGCTCTTAATTCTCGATCACCAAATTTATGATTTTTTGGATATAAAATTTGCAACTGTGAATATAGTTCAACGACTGGACTTTCTTGTTCAAGCCAATCAAGAAAAAACTGATGCCAATTAAGATTTGATATTGTTCTCCGTTTTAAATGGTAATCATAAAGTGATTTCATAATAGAATAATCATTCCAATTTTTGGGAAAACACGAGGGTAATTTTGCTACTTTATGCTGATGAATGAGGGTTTGCACCAAAGAATTTTCAAGGCCAAAAAGTTGATCTCCATTATATTTTTTCATTTTGCTCTGATTTTTCCCATACAGCAATTGGTGTTTCGCCCTCAAATTTTTTTTTCATTTGATTATCTTGATAAATTTCAAGAATACATTTATCTTCCTTGATTTTAGATACATAAATTGCTTGTTTATTACTTTTAAATTTGTACATGAAAGACGATTTGTATCCAGGACCAGCATTAAGCCAGTTTGCTTGAGAAGAAATTCCTATTCCGTATACAAATATTTTCAGTGAATCAACCAAAATTAAAATAGGAACAAATAAAACATCCTTTAAAAGTTGGTGGATAATGTCTTCATCTTGCCACCCTAATACTAAAGGACCTGAAAATCGTGTCCCATTTTCAAAAATTTGCGCGTATACCGTAGAAATTGCTTTAGAAGGGTCATTTTCTATTTGACTAATATATGTA